CTCACCACCTCTGCACCTCTGGCCTGTACCCCAGCTCTATATGAATAAATAAATCTTTAAAAAAAAATTCAGCTGAATCTGTATTTTCAGAACAAAGGGGAAGAAATGATATAGCATAACTCAATCTATCTACATAGATTTTTTAAATCTACAAAATGACTATTATCAGGGATGCCACGTCCATTGCAAAATGATAAAGGAAACCATGGGAATGGCAGCAGTAGTTACCCCTAAGGTAGGAGGGAAGTAGACAGGTTGAGGACAGTAGGATTATCCTGTGCTTGATGATCCAAACCAGAAAGCTTTAAGACTGAAAAGGGGTGGGAGGCTAAAAATGACTAAGTCAAAAATTATTTAGAATATTAACATATTATCTGACAAATGGGTCCACCCCAGTTCTGTATGCATAAATAAGTAAAATCTTTTTTTTTTAATATTAATACATTATCTGACAAATGAATCTCATTCAGGTGTTCCTCATTTCACTGCACTTTGCAGATGCTGCGTTTTTTGCACACTGAGGGCATGGACCCACCACCCTTCAAACAAGGCTACCCGTGCAAGGTTTCCAACGGCATCTGCTCTCATGTCTGTGTCACATGTCATTAAGATATGCACACTGGGCCCTCCCTGGTGGTGCAACGTGTTAAAGCACAGCACAATGAAGTTGGCTGCAGCCACTGCAGCACTGAGTTTGATCCCTGTGCCAGAGGTGACCCACATGGCACCACAGACCTCTCCTGACCTGCCCGCTGCTCCCCTCAGCAGTGTACTTCGTCGATCTGCCTGTTCTGCTCCCCACTCTGTCTCTGGTGAATCCTGTCACCACCCTGCACCGCTGGCCTGTATACACCCCAGTTCTGTATGCATAAATAAATAAATCTTTAAAAAAAAAATGCACATTGTTTTTTAAATGTGATTGCAACGTAACAGACTACAGGATAGTGTAAGTATCACTTCTATAGGCAGAAAGCCAGAAACTTTATGATGTGGTCTTGAAACAAACCACAGTATGTATCTTTGAGATGTGTCTATACATACCTTGAGAAATGAAATGCAATACTTAATCTCTTATCAAATGTGAACATATTTTATATCCTCATTTCCAGAAAACCAGAGGTCCACATAGTAAGTCCCAGAAAACTAACCCATGGGGTCATCCACAAGGAGGGCATACAGAATTAACTGGAAGGTAACGGGGAATTTCCCCTTTAATCTGGGTCATGGAGACACACAATTGCTAATCTTCACTACACCACTGACATAGTTTGCAGTCTTTTCTACCTGATGTTTAATTCTTAACTGTTTAGAAATAAACAAGAGGACATACTTAGCACACAGGGACTCATGTAATATCCATCCTTCAATTTGGGATCTTCGGGTACATATGGGTCTCCACCACACAACACTTTAGCACCCTGCCGAAAAGGAAAGAGAATGCCTATTTCATGTTCAACATGTCACCCCACTTGCACACCTGAAATGTTCCATGTATTCTGAACAAATGCATGGCTACGCCCTACAAGTACAAGCAGAACACTGCTCAGACACCAAAGGAGTCCATGGGGAAATGCCAGCTGGGCACTAGGGGATCCAACTGACCCCGCACTTGCTCCTGTTTCTCACCTGCTCCTTTGCCACTTTAACAAATCCAAGGACTCGCTCCAGGTGCGGTCGGTTGATAAGAGGCCCCATCCTTGTGTCTTCCAGAAGGGGATCTCCAATTTTTATACTTTGGGTCTGTTTCACCACTTCCGCTGTAAACTTGTCAAGGATTTCCTTTTGCACAAATACCCTTGTGCCATTACAACAAACCTACAGGACAGACATAAATATATATGTATGTGAGGTGGGAGGGGAGGAGCAGGGAAGGATCCAACAGCTTTAAACACTATAGGTTTTTCCTAAAAGATTAATTTATTCATGCTTACAAGAACTGGAATATAGGAGAGAGGTGTGGGGTGGGATGTGGTGAGAGGGTTCACCAGAGACAGAGTAAGGAACAGAACAGGTAGATCTACTGACACACACGGCTGAGGGGAGCAGCGGGCGAGACAGGAGAGATCTGCTGCGCCATGTGGGTCACTCCCTGGCCAGGGATGGAACTGTTGCTGCAATGGCTGCGGATAGCTTCACAGTGCTGGGATTTAACCCCTTGCACCACCAGGGAGGTCCAAAAGCCTATACTTTTTTAAAAGGTTAGGTCCGTTTTGAAAACTTAGTTAGCCCCACACTGAAGAGGATCACTTAGATAACTGTGGACACCCCACCCAATAAGCACAAACTGTCTTGCCCTTTTGAGTAAAGGTTTTATCTTTCTGCTTTCTTCAACTTCCTCAAGACCATTAGTGACCTGTGGTGCTTTCCTAGACCCACAGATCAGCTGCTCCAGATTTGAGGAGAGGTGAGCACGGGAGCAAATGAAGAATGAAGATATTAAGAACTGAGGGCTGGAGCCTAAGAATCACCCAGAATCCTTCACAGTCAACATTTGTCTCTAAAAGTCACAGATTATGATTAATTATATAAAATAAAAGCAAAAATACCATTCAAATCAGAAACAAAATAGAACACTCAAAAAAAAAATCTACGGAATCAGGGAAATTTAATTTATGATAAAGGTAGATTCCAACCACTGGATCAAAGATGGACTGCTAACAAGTGGCAACAGAACAACTGGTTGGCCATGTGGAAAATAAGATACACAGCTCACACCACACAGAAGAAATTCCAAATATGTCAGGACTCTAAATGCAGGAGATGAAGCCACACAATTACCAAGAGAAGATACTGGTGAATTTCTCCCTAACCCAGGTATAGGAAAAAGTTTCCTAAATCAAAGTCTAGATGCAGTGGAGGAATAAATCTGACTACATAAAAAGACAAATCTGTGCATGGCAAGAAATCCAGCAAGATGCATTTTGTTGTCTCCCTCCACAGTTCGGCCAGGGAAAGTATAGATGGTCTAGAACTCCCTGCTGTCCAGAAAGTAAAGGACATTGAGGACCTCAAAGAAAACTGAGGACCTATTAAAAGGTCATAAAAAGGGCCTTCCCTGGGAGGGAAATGCACGGGACTAGGGTGGTGGCACAGGGGTGATCTGGTGATGGGAAACCCGCAGGGATTACAATCGAGATGGAAAAAAAAAATGTGCAAAATGATGTAAAAATAAACTTTGTAATAAAAAAATAAAAAAAAAATCAGGTAATGGAAAAAAAAAAAAAAAGGGCCTTCCCTGGTGGCGCAGGTTAAAGCACAGCACTAAGAAGCAAAGCCACTTCAGCATGAGTTCGACTCCTGCCTGCCCTGGAGGTGACCACATGGTGCGGCAGACCTCTCCTGACCCACCTGCTGCTCCCCCTCAGCAGTGTACTTCCTCCATCTGCCTGTTCTGCTCCCCACTCTGTCTCTGGTGAAGCTTCTCACCACCCCTGTACCCCAGCCTGTATGCATAAATAAATCTTTAAAAAAAAAAAAAGATCATAAAAAGGAATATTCACTCACTAGCAGAATCGGTCACTATCTGAACATTAAAACATTAAAACCCCTGGAGGCACAGGGAGCAGAGTCAGTGCTATCAAGCTGCCTCCAGTCACTGCAACATAAGCTCCAGCCCCAGCCAGACCTCTCCTGTCAAATCTGCTGCTCCCCTCAGCAATGTGTTTCAGTAGATCTGCCTGTTCTGCTCCCCACTGTTTCAGGTGAATCCTCTCAAGCCCTCCCCCCACATCTCTGGCCTACACCCCAGTTCTTGTATGAATGAATTAATAAAACAGATCTTAAAAAATTTTTTTTAATAAACAATAATATAATGGGTTGTAACCCACAGAATGAAACAAGTATTATAAGTGTACAGCTCATGTAAATAAATAAAAGTTCTTTCTTACAGTAAAAAAGTTAATTAATATATAGAGATGGAAAGAACAGAATTGAAAAATCACCATTTGGCACTCAATGAAAACTGTTTCCAGCAAATATCATTGAGATGTCAAAATTTGATAACAAAAAATAAAAGGATGGTCTCACCTCTCCCCTACATGATATTGAATCACTACAAAAGAAGACATGATAACTTTGGTGCTTCTGCTAAAAAGTACATGACCAGAATCTAATCAAAAGTTAAGCCAAACAGTTCAAAAACGAGGTAATTTCTACCGCAAAAATGGCCTGTATAATTTGAAAAATGTCCAGTTTCTGAAAAATAAAGGAGATTTAAAAAGACATGACAACAAAAATCCATCTTCAAAATTAGATCATGAACCAGAATTTAAAATAAAAATCTGCTTTTGTGGCCCTCCCTGGTGGCGCAGCGGGTTAAAGCACAGCACTGAGAATCTAAAGCCACTTCCGCATGAGTTCGATTCCCGCCTGCCCCGAAGGTGACCACATGGCGTGGCAGACCTCTCCTGACCCGCCTGCTGCTCCCCTCAGCAGTGTGCTTTGTCGATCTGCCTGTTCTGATCCCCACTCTGTCTCTGGTGAAGCCTCTGGCCGCCCCTGAGCCTCTGGTCTGTACCCCAGTTCTGTTGCACCAATTAATTAAAACCTTTAAAAAAAAAATCTGCTTTTGCTTAACCACCATCAAACAAGAGGAGAAATATGAATTAAGGGTTGCAGATGAAGAGCACTCTATTAAGTTTTTGGTTTTACTAAGTACATTGTATTGACAGAAGAGAAAGTAATTGTTCCTAGGAAATACACATGAGTATTGGGAGATCAGGAGTATTATGCCTACAGCTTTCAAACACAACAGAAAAAAAAAAGTGTGCATGTGTATACACGAACAAATAAACACAATGACAAAGTAAATGTAATAAAATGCAAGGACTTCCTTGCACTGTTTATGCAACTTTAAGTCTCAAAGTAGTTCATAATAAAAAGCTTTAAAGCATCCTGTTAGATGCTAGGTGGAGAGTCCATGCAACCTTTCTCAAGGCTGCCACATACCTCTCCTTGTGTGAGGAAGTTAGCCATCAGTGCCCCCTTCACAGCATTTTGCAAATTACAGTCTGAGAAAATGATCAGGGGAGATTTGCCTCCAAGTTCCAAGGTCACGGGTTTGATTCCTTTAGCTGACATCTCCATGATCTGACAGAATAAGAACAGGCACATTTAGAAGTTTAACACAGGTGAGGCTTCAAGCCAGGTAAACTGAATTACATGTGCGGTTCAAGTCATCTTGTTCTCAGTATACTCTGCCCAGTGTCTATTTCAAATACTTTTCCAGAACATCAAGAAGTCACAGAATTGCACTCGACAGTCAATTCACCTGATGGGCTCAGGTTAAAACTCTTTTAGTTCACTGTTCTATGTTCAAGGCTGAACACAGAGCTATGGCACAAATTAAGGTGAAAACACAGACTCAGAGTTAATCTGAGAGGACACCTGCCTTCTGAGGCGGATGCTCTAGGTGAGTTAAGTCACCAAACAGTGCAAGTGGCAACCATGCCATGCAATCTCAAAACACAGGCAGAAGATGGTGGCCTCCACAGCCTCCAATTAGTGCCAGCGTGCTGTGCCAAGCCCCATCGGACCTCCCCAGCCCCCACAGTATGCTCCGAGGACAAGCTGGGAAAGACCGGAAGATGAGACCCCAAGACCACTCCAGGCAGGCCTGCCTTGCCCTAGCGACACCATGGTCATTAATCAGTACTGGTTTTATCTTTACCTTTGTGCCAGTGGGCACACTTCCAGTGAAGGAGACTTTGGCCACATCACGATGCTGACACAGAAACTGGCCTGTGGCTGCCCCTCCCTGCACCACGTTGAAGAGCCCGGGAGGTGCACCAGCCTGGGTATAGATTTCAGCCAGCAGCAGTGCAGAGACAGGCGTGAAGGGAGATGGTTTAAAGATCATGGCGTTACCTGCGTAAATCCAAGACACAACACAAGAAGAACTTTGATGTTTGGTGAACCTCTAAGGACAGGACTAAATAAATAGGGAAAACTTGATTGATAGTTTTCTATTCTCCCCACCAAATAAATCCTAGACCAACAATGTTATTATAAGTAAATATATCTTGTTCTTCCACTTTTGGTTTCTCTTGTTAAACAGACCTACATTCCCTCCCAGTCTCAACTAATCACCCCATTTCTTGGCCTTTCCACATTATGTCATCTCATTTAACTCTAGCAATAATGTAGGAAGTAGGTATGATTCATCCCTTGACCCCCTCCCCAAACAATAAAGAATGCTTATGTTATGATGGATGGGATGACAAGTTTCCTGATATACCCAGGGTGAAACCCTGCCGTTTATGCTCTTGGGGACTCAGCCTGTTGGAAGTGCTCCCAGTGAGCCCACCAGGTGACAAATAAATCTCTCTCCACCTCTCTGAGTGCCATCTGATTTCTCTGGGAAATTGCTGTAACAGTGGTAATGCTTTTCTAACCTTATAGTTTCCTTCTGAGATACAGTAAGCCTTCTTCTCCAAGGTCTTTCTCTTTTAGTCATATGAGAAAACTTGAGTCAATCACACACAGTTTGTCTCTCAGAAGCCTTGATTAATAATCATTTCTCTTAAGACACAAACAAATCCTGCTTCCTCCGTGAAGTTAAATCTCGAAAGACTAACCTCCCCACACAGAAATTTGTTTCCAGATTTCTTGTACAGAAGGGCAGAAAACTTACAAATTTCACAAATTTAATTCAATTGGACAGTAAAAACTAAGACCTTTATGACCAAAATTAACTTTCTTCCTTTTCATAAACAAAGAAACATTATATCAACAAAAAGGGAGTAGCAGAGACAGGATCTGTGTGTATGACCTGCACTGCAAACTCCCTGAAGTCTGGGAAGTGGTCAACCCTGTCCCCTGAGGCGTGGTTTGCCCAGCACAGGCCCATGTGCACAGGTAGAGGGCTGTCAACAGGAGGAGGGTGGTCCCCAGTGGAGGAGTAAGTCACTCTTACCGCAGGCCAACGCCGGGGCTGACTTCCAGCAGGCAATCTGGAAGGGGTAGTTCCAGGCTCCTATCCCCACACATACTCCGAGAGGCTCCCTTCTGGTATAGCCAAACGACCCACCGGCGAGCTGGATGTGTTCACCTGAGGGGAGGTGGGGTACAGAATGCAGCTCTGCCTTTCCCAAGACTTCCCAACACCTGTACTTAGCTTATACCCCACGCAGACTGGCCGCCTTACTACTCCCAGGACCCAGGGCCCACCTGTCTCCATTCTTGCTAGCAAACCCTGGTCATATAACAATATAATTCAACTTTACTGAGCACTGAATAGGTAACTTTGATGAAATGAAATGGAAGTGAAGGGAGACACAGAGACAAGGGAGCCTGAAGACCCCAAAACCTTGGGCTCCAGGCTCCTCACAGTCCCTCGGAATCTGTTTGATGATAAAATATCAAACATGGACTGCTGCAAATTTTATAAACAAAGAAACTTTTTTACAAAATAGGTAAAACAAGTAATTAGGTTCAAAGCTCAGGCACCATGCTGGATGCTTTATACTCATTATCTCACTCAATCCTATAGTACTCACAAAGATAGGGATTTTTATCTCCAGTTTAAATAAGATAAAGCAGGGCCCTCCCTGCTGTCACAATGGGTTAAAGCACAGCACTAGGAAGCTAGCCACACCTCCTTCAGGGTGAGTTCTATCCCTGGACAAGGAAGTGATCCCAAGGCGCAGCAGACTTCTGTCTCACCCACAGCTCCCCTGTTCTACTCCTCACACTGCCTCTGGTGAATCCTTTCACCCCTGCACCTCTGACCTACACCCCAGATCTGTATGCAAAAATAAATCTAAAAAAAAAAGGTCCTCCCTGGTGCAGCGGGTTAAAGCACAGCACTGAGAAGCTAAAACCACTTCAGCAAAAGTTCGATTCCCAGCCCGAGGCGACCCACATGGCGCAGCAGACCTCTCCTGACCTGCCATCTCGTCAGCAATGTACTTCATCAATCTGCCTGTTCCGCTCCCCACTCTGTCTCTGGTGAATCCTCTCACCGTCCCTGCAACTCTGGCCTGTACCCCAGTTCTGTATGCATAAATAAATAGTCTTAAAAAAAAAAACAGGCCCAACTACTAAAAATATAAAATTAAATAAATAAATAAGATAAAATACTTCCCAGGATCACCCAAATAGAAAGAGAAGATCCTTAGATTTTAACCCAGGCCTATTTTTTTTTTTTTTTTTTTACATTTTAAAAGAATAGGTTTATTAGGAAAAGGAGAAAAAGCGAGGGCCCTGCATAGTCAGAGGTGGACAGGAGAGCTACACCGCCCAGGCCTGTCTTGATGATGCCCCTATTCTGATCTTCCCCACCAGGCTCTGTAGCTCTGTCCCTCTGTCAGCCTGGGCCAGGAGTCTGGGGGAGGGCTCACCAGCCATGGATGCAGCCAGGCCTGCAAAGTACTCCAGACACTGCCAGGAGGTGTCAATGTCCAAGCGGGCCTCAAAGACGGACTTGCCATTGTTGATGGTCTCCATGGTAGCGAGTTCATCCTTCCGTTCCTTTGTGGGACAAGACTAGGTTTAAGACATTTCCATAAACCTCAACATATGCAACATTCAAAGAGAATACTACGGCCAGTTTTTAAAAACAGAAACAGCTTGTACATTACCTGAAAATAAAATGGTACATGTGGAAGAAAAATAAAAGCTTACTGCTAAATAGCAGCCCTGTTGTACACAGCCCTTATCTCCGCCAGAGTTAATGTCACAGACTGAAGACTAATAACTCACTTTGGGCCAGTTAGAAGAGGTGCATTTTTAGAAGTAAAGGTAGGTATACTGTATAAACATGCATGTATATGTATATGTAAGGGAGAATAGTTCTTAGGAAATTATACAAAACACCAATACCACTTGAGAGGTTGTATACCCCATCCTTCTATTTATCTTCTAAACAAGTAGAACATGTCAAAATCACAAGACTATTATTGTCTCCAGTTGTAGCCTATACAACTTAAAAGCGATGTGGGCGACGATCCAACAATAAACAGAGATTTGGGAAAGCAGATCTCAACAGAAAAGCTAAAGTGTCCTTTCTGTCCCACAGAAGATAAAAAAAAATAAATATGTAAGAAACAGATATCTGCTATTATAGATCCAATGTAAAATAAACAGGGGAATTCTGAGCAAAAGATGAATACAAAAGATAAATCAAACAATTGGCAAAAAGAAGCACTGAGATTAAACCTGGTTAAGCAGTAAAACCAACTGAGGCCTCTGCACCTCTGTGTGCCTGGCTTCTGTGCACCGTGTGTGGAAGACTTGGATAAGACACTCCCACAGACTGCCTGGAGACAATAGCCCACATGTTGCTGCATTGGGGGACAGCAAGCAGCAGCTGGCTGACTGCAGTCAGGCTCTGAGATACTCTGGGGATAGCTCGAGAAGTACTCCCCATTGTAAGGGGGGCATTCCCTGCCTCTGTGGCCAACGTGTCCCCTCAAGTTCCCCATGAAAGTTGATTATCTTCCCGGTGACTGCACCCATAAAGTTGACAATCCTTTGTTTCCCCTGGACCCCATATCTCCTCCTATTGTCACCTAGTCTGTCATGCCTGTTCACTAAGAGCTCTTCAATGACAAGCAATATCTTGTCTTGCAAATCTGCTCCTTGACTTGTCTCTCAAAACGTGGCCCTAGGAGTGTGCTCCTGACTGCCAGAGCCAACCAGAAGTAAAATGAAATGGCAACAGGAACTAACAAAAGCATCTACCTACTATACAGACTGAAGAAAAGATGGGAGCAGGAATATGAAAATCGATACGACAGAGGATACTTTGCGAGTGAGATTCTGCAAGGACCAGAGTGCTAAGGTGCTTTGATTTATCCTGCCTTAGTCAATACTAAGGAAAAATATATACAGATCCAGTTTCTTTTCCTTCAAGGAGCTTACTTCTAAGAGTTGGTACATTCTAAATAAATATTGAAATTAGTGAATGGGTGTGTCCTGCAAAAAGGATAATTTGTTCACAATCAAATGTGGTCTAAATTAAATTGTCCGTTAAACCAACAATTTATCATCTCATCCCTGATTCTATACTTACCAAAAACCACTTCTTAACAGGTAATTTGTTTCCAGTTAAACCAGCACTAGAAGGGGGCCCAGGAAGATAGCCAAACATTAGTTCTTCAACAAGGTATAAACTATTCCCATTCTTGAATGTACTGAGTGTGACTAATAGGAAATATTTTTTTTTCAAAAGCTTAAAAATGTCATTCCTAGAATGCAAGAGGGGAATTAGGACCTCAAAAGGAAGTAGGTACTAGTTCACTAATCAGCATGGATAAACTGATGAATCAGTGTATGACATCTGAAACCCATACAGAAATATTAAGCTGACAAAAGTGAAATGCCGCTGAGCTTCCGCATTAGCTCAAGAACAGGCAGGCAGAAGTACACTGGACAAAGGCTGTACTGCTTACAAGATCACCCTGAGCAAATTTTTTTTTAAATAAATAATGTAATAGTTTATTTTTACATCATTTTGTGCATCTTTCCATCTCAGTTGCAATCCTCGTGGGCTTCCCCTCACCAAATCACTCGTGTGCCAT